AGGCAATAGCTGATCACTTATTTCTGGTTCCTTGTTATGTTTTGATGTTTTTAGGTCAACATCATGTGCTATATCATGAAGTATTGCATACATACGTATTAAGAGCATTGTGGTGCCTGGGTCTAAAGACAAACTGCTTACTTATGGGTTATATTTCTTAAAATATTGCTGAACTTGCTGTCTATGGCGCCAAATTCGTAAACTTTTTCTCACTTTTGTTTTGTGCTTGTTAACCTTTTGCTAACATCAGCGCTGTGGAATATGTTGGCGCTTTAATAATGCCAATTATAAAATAAAGATAAATTATTTTGAAACAGAGTGACTGACTAAGGTAAACACGAGAAATCGGTTGTAGAAGAACACGTATTAAGGCATCTGAACGTCAGACATTAAATAATTTATAATAAACACAATCTTCAAAAGGTGAAGAAGATATTGTACCATAACTTTCTTATATTTTGTTTTTAGCAATAGTCATCACAATCCCCTCTCCTTAAATGACTGCTGTCAAATATTCACTTATCTTTTTAAAAATGTATTACATTTAACCCATTAAGGACGGGGGAAATTGTACACATCCTGATCAAATCAAAATGTAAACAAAACCTTTAATTTGCACTATATGTCTGTTATACCGTAATTCACCTTTCATATTAAGTTTTTTTGTAACAAGAATAATAGAAGAAACAAATGCTGAATAACAAGCTAAACATACATGTCTAGTCCTAGCTGTTATTATAAGCTTGCAGTCTAATATGATTGCCAGACATAGGGAGAACGAATAATGAAAAGTTGTTAAACTATAGTGTGCACGGGTGTGCTCACTGGCTCGAATGGGACCCAGTATCATCTCAGCGAGCATATGCCATGGGCTCAAAATAGGCGATCAATGGAGTGCCAACAAGCTTAAGGGGGGAACCACTGCTAACAGGGATGTTTAATTGCGTACTCTTGTGTTCCCTCTGTAGCAATATACATTTTAAGTAGTACTACATTTATGCGGTGGCAAAGTAATAAAGACAGTATTAAAAGCACAAATTAAATTAAAATAATAACTGAACCATGGTTTCCCTTCGGGACTCGTAGGGGAGAGTAGTTAAAATAGAGATTAACTGAACTTCTGAAACATATGCTCATTTGGGCAGTCTTTGGGCAATAAAAAATGGGCTTGTGACTTAGCCTACACCCTGTACTTGATGGGAGCCCAGTCTTTGGGCAATAAAAAGTGGGCATGGGACTTAGCCTACACCCTGTATTTGATGGGAGCTCCCCCAGTAATCAGGATTCAAGTCCCACAGATCTGCACCCAGCCAGCCCCAAAATCCCACACAACCCAGAGCACTGTGCTCACAAGTCCCAGAGTCCAAGACAAGGACTTGATTTTGTGGCCCTCCATAACGATGTTTCTGCACAGGCTTGTAGCAGGACCAAGTCTTCGGCGCCGATCAGCTCCCCTGGGGGCTCTCTTTTGCCTCCTCACCCTGGAATCAGCATGCGGGCGTCGCCCAGGGGCGGTAGGTTGCTGTGTGGTTTGATGCAGTGGGAGCGCTGGCGGGGCTTCGGTGTGTGCATGTAGGTGTTGGGTAACTGCTGACCAGAAATCTGCAAATAGATTATCCAGTTTCTCCATGAGAGTAGGTTGCGTGTCTCGAGATGTTGGCTTGCCCATGGCATCTGTCATCTTGCCACTAGTAGGCTGGTTGTCGCTGAAGATAAGTTGCTGATGCTTCGCCAGTGCCGGGATATCCCCCACCGGCAAGGGGGGGAGTGTGAAAGAAGGACCTCTGAAGTGGTGTGCAGCAAGGAACATAGGGATCAGCCGCCTCCTTGGTGGTTTTTGTGAGTAAACCTGAGGTAGGCCGTGGGTCCATCTCCTGCGTGAGCCATCGATCTCGGACTGAGAGATAACAGATTGAATTGCAGCAATTTTTATCCATTCTGCTGGCTTATTTACGCAATGCAGTCAGTATTTTTGGCTATATTAAAGCTTTTCTGTGCGGACCTTACAAGATGTGCGACCGGCCAGCGCGGCTGTCAGGCTCTGCCCCCCGTTTGGCATTTTAACTGTGAATGTCACAATACTGCTAGCTTTTACTGCAATACAATACACATATTTGTGTTCAGCTATGTTTCACAAGTACAACAGTACCCCCTATGTACAGGGTTTATGGTGTTCTGGAAACGTATATGGTCAAATATAGGGCTTTCCCCTTTTCAGTTATTACACATTAAAATTTGCTAGATTGGCTATGTTGCCTTTGAGACCGCATGGCTACTCAGGAATGAAAATTACATACATCATGGCACACCATTTGAAAAGTAGAGACCCCCGCCGGACTACGTTGGCGCTATATAAGTTCCAATAATATTAATAATATACAAGGCATGTTGACAATTTAGAAATTTCATGGTAAGCCTGAATTAGTGCCTACTGCAATATCTTCCAAACTATGTAGAGATTTAAGTCCTGTATTTGGTTTTTGAGTCATATGTTGCCAAGCAGACTGTGTCTGAATAACTTTTTGAGATGGATTTGTGTAGGGGTGTTTGGAGTTGGCATTGACACATGGCTTATTTGAAAGTTAAACAAATCAGCTGTTGAGTGAAGTTATCATAACAATCTTTTCCTATTGCCCTCAGGGTCCTCACATCAAACAAGACCCAATTATTAAAATATGCCCTTTGTTCATCTCTTTAACTGTTTGACCTAAGTAATCTATTTTTCGGTTTTGCTAATGCTGATAAATAACTCTTTGTGACTCCATGTTTGCTAACAGAGAAGATTACCTCATTTTAGTGCAGATCCCGAAGCCCAAAAATAATGGACAATGGATTATAATAAAACATTGGAAATACAATGATTGATTATCAAAATGATATTATTGCAAAGGCAATTCCTGGCCCTTCAATAGTGTGGTATACTTTATTAGTCCCAAGAAGACTGTGCATCCCAGAATCCACTGCACATGGATTGTGGGGGAAAAGATGAATACAAGGCTCTCTCAATGTTTTTCCTCCTCTTTGTGGATTTACATTTTTATTTGCAACTCTCACTTGCACTAATTGAGTGAGACATTAAAAGATAATACTGGGATTTTTAAAATTTATTGTACTAGATGACACCCTAAAGATTTAAATGACTTTTTTTTATTTTTATTTAATTCAGGGCTGATTTGTGATTCAGAGTTGGCCTCGAAAAAGTCTGGGGATAACTTTATAAATTCAAAATCCTCATAATTTTCAATTGGTGCATATGTATTGTTCAACAATGCTTTTAAAGTGTAAAGCTCAGTGAATTACTTTATCCTCCGATACAATTACAGTGTACAATACATTATCTTCCTGAATTGTACGTGACCTTGTTTCCTCTACAGTCTTGTTTTGGCTTTCACTGTAATATTATAAGCAATTGGTAAATACTCTACTGCAGATCATCTTCATATTATTATGATACAGATACTGCAAGCACTATAAGAACGTACACTCCTTGCATAGATTATGGCGCAGGGTACCCCTTACCCTGGCCCCTGCACAAAGTTGGTTATAACTGAAGCAACTTAAATAAAGTTGACAGCTATAACCCAGCTCATCAAACAATCCAGGTGATAGGGGCTACCAGCTGTTCTTATGTATTTGCCTCATCAACAGTTAATCCATCACCCACTAAATGGGTGAAGGGCATGAGGGGCTTTAACAGCCCCTTGTTTCAATATACCCCCATCCAATGAGTTATAGCATCAGATGACATATTTACAGCTCTCCAGCATCTTTAAAAGTAAGGGAGTTCACCTTATAGTTCTCCTTTATTAAATGACGTCCCCCGATCTCAAAGCCTAGGAGATATGAAAGAATGAAGCAGCAGACAGCTTTGCTGTTGGCCTTGTTCATTATTATCTATCTCATGCCAACAATGGGTCAGTTGGATGTTGGGGAACCAGGGACCCATATTCCAAAAGAATAGCTTCTGCATTCCAAAGTCCACAGAATTAAGTTAGGAAGTGGAAGACAGTTAAGTTGTTGACCATCTCCACTAGTAAACACTCATTTGCTAGTGTACACTGGTGGGTGAGGAGATTTTAAAACAGCAATTGGTTCATCTGAATATTATTTTTGAAACACAATTTGGACAAACCAAAGTGCTGCATGAATTAAGTCATGTTGGTCCAAGTCTAAACTATTTTAAGATTGTTAAAAAGGCTCTGGATTTACTTAAGTTTCTCATTCAATAGTTTATTTTTTATATTCTGTTTTTAAAATGTATTCTTTTCTGTATCATCATGTAGTATGTGAATTGATATGAACTGCAAAGATTGGAAACAAACAAAACATGTGATTGAACTCTGTGAATTTATCTCAATGTTTTGGAAAGCCGGCACCTAAGACAGTCACCACAGCTTCTGTCTAGTCCTCTGCTCTGGTCCCCAGAGTGTCCAAGCTATTTTATAGATAACCCTTTGCCCCTTATCACTCCATCACAGCATACCAGGAAATTCAGGCCATTAATTATCATATTACAGTGACAAAAGCATACATCAACAGTATCCTGACAGATCTCGACATACTGCCTCTCCCCCTTATCCTTCAGTTCATAGCTCATCTTAAATGTTTAATGTTTGTTTATGTTTGCATGAAAGGAATGCTCTTGGCTAACTGGTCAAAATAAATGGCATTCAGCCCCACACAAGTTAATTTCAGTTAATTCAAGAAAGCAGTTAACATATTTAGGTTTTCTATAAATATAAATGCCCTATAAGTATACTTATTTCTATTGAACAAAAGATTTGGACAGAAATACAAAAAGGAATGTGCATTTAACTCAACTCGACCTGGTGGATCTTAGTTGACCATCAATCCAGTAGATATTTATAGTACAATAATACACATTCTTTACATAAATGGTCACATTATTTAGACTATGTCCTGTCTTCTTTCATCTTAGTCTGTTTCCACTGATCTACTACCCAACTATTAATGTGGATTAAAGTTGTCCATTTAGAGGTCCCGTGGGTTGCAATGCTTTTTGTGTATGGTCTTCAGCCAGCTCAATAATTTGAAGGTCTTCACAATATTACACCATTGTTTCAATGAGGGTTGTCCTAACAGCACATAAGTCTTAAATAACCACAAACTACTTCATGATGAATAAATTTCTCGTCCCTGGGATATTGCCCAAATGTTTGGTAGACCTCAGCTGCAGTATTCAGCGTTCATAGCCAAAGTCAAATCCCTAAAGTTCCATTGGTTTAAAAGAGTTTAGATTCTGGAGTCCTACACAGAACTTCATCTTGTTTCCATTTAGTATTGTCATCTTCATCTTTAGATGTTATATCTTAAACCCATCCATTCACACATTTTTGCAGGTGTCCGTTGTAGCTGACGTGTTGATCCTGCCATAGAAAGTGTTTATGTTCCCCTTCTTCCCATAGGAATCGTATCTATCAATCCATTGTTAACCGTTCATGGAAATTCAGATCAGATCACTAAAACAGCTGGTTCAGTGACCCAGTTATTGTAAAGAATCCTAAGCCCTGCTTCTTTTATTATATACATATTTCTTTCACCATCTCCATGTACTGTAACACAGAAATGCTGGCCTGTGTGAGGTCATGGTATACGGGTGGATATAAATCTGTTCTATTTAGTTTACTCCAGTGCTGTCCGCAGTTCAAATTTGGCACAAAATGGAGACTAAAATATTGGTGTATTATCTAGTTTATTGAAACAAAATTATTATACGTTACAATCTATTAGATTTTATATAGATTCCAAGATCAGAGCTTTTTTGCTTAAATTCTTGCTTTGTAGCTTGTAGAAGCATGTGTTAAGTTTAACATGACTTATTCATTTAGCAGACAGAACTCTCACATGGATAGAGGGAAATACTGGCAGTATTATTATTCACTAAAATGTAAATTATTTGAACATCTAATAGGGTTATGTACTAAAGTGAGAATTGTCTGGAATTCAAAGTAAATTTCAAATTGAAGGCCAAAGTACTTGACTTGGAGAGTTTTTCCAGTTTGGCTACTTTAGCTTTGAATTTGAAATCCACTTTACAGTTTTCACTGTAGCCTGTAAGTGAAAACAAAGTGAATTTTAAATGTGAATTCCCAATATTTTCCACTTTAGCGAACAACTCTGTGTGTTTATTATTTTCATATTACTTAAGCCTAACACTTGCATTATGCCAAACAAGATCAGGGACACAAGTGGTAACCGAGTGGGAAAACAAAAAAATTCTGAAGAGCCGGATATCTTTTTTTCATATCAGTCCACGGAGATTTATAACCAGCAGTACGGTCTTGAAGAATAACATTGAATAATTATATAGAATGTGCTGCTTTCACACTGAACATGAAATCCCTTAAAATACCATTATCACATTCACTTGTAACAATACTTATAACAATTACTTGTAACAAACTCCATATAAAGAAATCTTCATATATTTGGAATTATTCCAGCATAGTTTGGGATTATCTAAACCAGTTGTCTCCAACCCAGTCCTTATGGACCACCAACAGTCCAGGTTTTGTTAGCATCTCCACTGGAATAAAACAGGGAAATACATAAATCCTGGACTGTTAGTGGGCCATGAGGAATGATCTAAACTAAAGTTTGGAGCCTTATTTATTATTTCTTTATAAAGTGCCAACAAGTTCTGTAGTGCAGTACACTAGGTCAACTAACAGACAAGTATTTGTAACAAGATGAGGGTGGGTGTTTAGGGCATTGCTTAAACCAGCTTACATTCTAGAGGGAGTGGGTAAAATGACACAAAAGGTAAGGGTAGGATGTATTTTATGTGCAGGAAAAAGTAGGCTTCTAGAATAGTTTACAATGAAGGGTTCGTTTTGAGATGACACCGATGCAGGAGAAGAAGCAGGAGGGAGAAGAGGGAGAGACTGCAAATTTTAGTGATGGGCAGAGCAAGAGAAGGAGACAAAGTCTGCGTGAGGTGTGAGGGAATAGGATCAAGGGAATAAGTGGTGGGGCTGGTGGAAGCAAAGCAAAAACCTGTTCTGGTGTAGTGGGTAAGAGTGAACATAGAACAGAGGAGGAAGGGGGGTTGGGGAAAGTATTGGTGTGGGTAAGAGAGAGAGAGAGATCTCTTCCCTCATCACAGAAATCTCAGTGAAGTGAGAAATGAGTAGTAGCAGTCTAGTTAGTAGGAGGAGGAGCAGCCACAGGGCGAAGTCGAGAGTTACAAGTGTGACAGAGGCGTTTCGGTTTTTGGTAGAATGTGGTTATGAGGGTATTGATATATACATACACACACACACACATATATAAAATATACATATAACATATACAAATAGCAGCGTTGCAATTTTTTTTATAAGTCACCAAAGTGACTTTTCAAAATTACAATTCTGCATTCTCTATACACATTGCGTTAGGTAGATTAGTAAATTTCCACATTATTGCTATTCATTTTTCTCTCCTGGATGTTAAATTCCTCTTTCAAATCTCCATAGGAAGAGAATAAGCCATGGAGAATGTAAAAAGGCACTAATTCATTATATAATACATGCTGCTAAATAGAACTTTTTAATAATTATTAGAGATATGCCAATTGGACTGCATTGTAACTTTTCAAATATTTTGTGATTGCTTTTCTACTTTTTTCAGTCACTAATCACTGCCTGTATCGGGCATGAAATTTTCTAACGCAGGTTCAGTCTGCAAAACTGCATAGCCGTTAATATAATACATTATTGCTTTAATATGGATAAAGGCACAATAGGTCTATAGCTAAGTACATTATGGTACTAAATACTATGGTATTAAGGTAGGAGTGAAATGTTACGATTGTTAATAAATAGCTCCAAAGCATGTTTTCATATGGAACAATAGTTTAAAGGGGAACTGTCACTTGACAGGTATTTTAAAGTTATTTTTACTTATCTAATATAGTTAAAAATATGTATTTGTAAAGTGAGAAAACTAAAATTAAATGTTCAAATCCTGCAACCGACGACTTCTTCTTAATTATCTATCAGTCATTATTAGTTTTGTTCTTTGCACTTGGCAGTCGGCATATGGAAAGGATTCAGAGAAGAGAAATCCTATTTCTTTTCTTTGTTTACAATGTTTACCCTGGTTTTGCCTTGTCTGAACAGGATTGGGATGTCATTAACTAAATCTTTGCTATACATCATAAAGAAGATGGAACATCCCATAAAAATGGTTAACACAAGATATAGATGATGATCAATGTTTTATTCAATGGTATAAATCTTCCAAAGACTTGAAATGTCCTTTTTAGGTGAAACAGGAGCATTTGTGAGTGGATCCTACATTTGTGAGTGGATCCTACAGTGCCATGCCTATGGTTATCCATCTTGAGATATGCAGAGATGTCCAGTATAACTTATTCATCTTCTTCTGAACCATTGTTGCTCAACGCTAGAAATCACTGAATGTGCCAACTGTAACTGTTACTTCAGAGATTCACAGTGTATCAGCAAGTTGACTCCATGAGAACACTACCATGTATCGATACAGCAAGACCTGACCCTATGCCATATGGCACAGAATGTGGATACAAAACGATAGCGGTATAGCTGGGTCCAGTGCCCAAAGTATGAAAATGTAAACATTTGAGGAATTTCCCATCAGTACATATGAATGTGTGAATGCATTCCTAAAATATGTATTTTGGGAATAGACTTTAAAAGTGAATCATTCAACCCATTATTTAAGCTGGTGATAAGCAAATCATTTACTAGTATTTACACATATTAGTCATGTTTTAGTGAAATTTCCTGATACTAATCCACTTGTTCTACAGTTTATAAAGGAAATGTTCCAGGATGAGAACTTGCTGGATGAGAACTTACTGTTCTGAGTGTTTTTGTCCACAGGTTTCTCAGCCAATCAGAGGGTTATCAGAAAAGGCCTGGGGTCATAGGTAATGTGCTGGCAACTGGCCTGGGCTCCATCGGTATAATGGGGGCAGTATCTGAAGTAGTCTCATCAAGCTCACTGTCTTGATCATCCAGGATACCACCCTCTACTGGGATAATATTGATGACCTTCTCTTCAAAGTGCACCTGCTTTTTTTTGGAAGTTGTATCTGTAGAGTTATCCTGCTGGCTCTGGTTAGAGCCTGTGGCCCTGGGAGGCTGGCGATCCCTTTTTACTTTTAAGATGCTCCTCATCTGTGTTAACAGTGACTCTCTTTTTTCTCTTAGAGAACTGTTGAACATGTAAGTCTGTTCTGTGTCCCCGGCTCTTGTCATGGCAATGGCTGTGGTGGAAGGATCTGTATAGTACTCTGCTTGGCTCACACATTCTTTCCCAGGCTTGGGCTTTTTCCTTTTACTCAGGAGAAGATAGGCTCCACCAGTTACAATTAGCATGGTACCTGTGGAAATATAAAGTCAACAATCAAACAGAATTAGGTTATTCCTTGTAAAAAATACAGAGTTATGAATATCTGGAGTTTGTTTTAGGTTGTGTTTATTTGTTGTTTTTTTTTTTTATTATTGTTGTTGTTGTTGTTGTTGCATATAGCATAGTGGTTGTAGGAATTTTCTAACTTCTGTCCTTGTTTTATTGGCCCACCCCCCCAAAAAATGATGCCAGAAAAGAAGTAAAGTTAAACATCTTTACAGAGGTTACTTAGGTTAGATTGACCTCTTCCTAATATTTGTAAGATTTCTTAGGATGTGCACCTGCTGTGAATGCGTGTTATGCCATCGCACCCACTGGACCACCAGGAAATAAAGCATTAGAGCCCCCCTCCCTGCACAAAAGAAAAGCAGAAGAGGACCTTAAAATTGATATTTAAATTTAAAAAAATAAAAATAAGCTGCACATGTACAGTTCTCAACCCATACTCTACCTGTCGCTCATTCACTCTACCTATCACATTCACATCCTCACTTTGTCTGTCACACTCACCCCTCTCCGCCTGTCACTCCCTTTCCCCACTTTGCCTGTCACTCTCTCTGTCACAGTCACCCTGCCACAGTTGTATTCGCTCATCCATGTTTATCATTTAAAAAGTTTAATATGTCAGCATAATTGAAAACTGGTGTGCTAATTGAAGAAGCAATACAACTTGCCTTCATTATACTAGTTGAGTATCTGAAGCATCAGCAATTGTGGGTTTGATTACAGGCTCATGATGGCCAGAAACAAAGAAATTTCTTCTGAAACTCATCAGTCTATTCCTATTCTGAGAAATGAAGGCTATTCTATATGAGAAATTACCAAGAAACTGAATACTCACACAACGCTGTGTACTACTCCCTTAACAGAACAGCACAAAATGGA